TTTCCAGCCCAGAGAGGTCACTGCTGAATTAATAATACAATTTTAATGTGCACTGATGTGTTATCCAATATTTCCACACTGCAAAACTAATATTGTTGCCTAATTCATTTTATAAATTAAAATTGGCATTTGCAGATTACAATGCAGAGAGGTTTGTGAACTGAGCAGCAAATCCAGTTGGGATGGAGGAGTGTTATTTCATTTCACCTCATGTACAATTGACACTCTAATGTGTGAATCTATTTGTTTTCTTACAACAAGGACTTGTTGGCAAACAAGGAGTTTGTGTTATAACTAGATCTTTCTTAGAATAAAATATAGATTTCACATATAAATCCTATTTTACAATAAAATATTTGTCACCTCTATTTTCATTTGAATGAATATTATTGGTAGGGATGGGTGAACCTCAAACAATTTGAGAAACGTTGGAAAGTTTTCATATTTATTTGAAACGTATATGACTAGTTCCATACTATTTCATTTTCCTTCACCTTTCCACACTAATCCTTCCATCTTTTACAGTTATATATTTTCCCTTCTTCCTAACTCTATTTTTTCATGACTTCTAATCTCAAGCATCTCCAGTTTCCTTCACCTGACATCCAGTATACCCTCTTCATTTCATATGTCATGAGATGGAGAGGTCTCATGTTTTGTCATATATCTCTGTTGTAATCTGGATGGATGGATGGATGGATGGATGGATGGATGGCTAGAAAAATCTAATCTCATGAATTCAAGGGGCATGAATCTTCTTAGGCCTGCAGCTTTGTTGAAAGTTTGTTGCAGTCATTTATGCTGGGGCAAAGTCAACTAAAATGCAACTGAAATCAGGGCACTCATTTTGCATAGATATAGATGACTACGCAAACTGTTGTGCAATGGTAAATCAGGCTGAGGTCTTCTCCAGAATTTCCTTTCATTTTGGACTACGGGGAGTGGGAGACTTGACTATAGTAGCCGTTTTAGCAGAAACTAATTAATTAATTAAAAAAACTATGCATTTCCATTTCTCTACCATCCAAAATAGCACAGAAAAAAAATCATACAGTAGCCAGATCCTGCCTGTCAAAATTCTTTAAAGTTCCACATCAGCAAACCTCTTTTACTTGGCCTTCCCTTGCTTTCTCTAGAAGAAATCAAACAGCAGCTACAACAAGATAATGTGATCAGTTATTAAGGTGGTACACTGATGAAGGGTCTATCTAGCTGGTGGGAAGGAGTGTGTTTCAACTAAATTAGTTCACTTGAATGACTTTTGATTGGAAAGCCCCTTTAACACTCATGCAGACATAGTTTAAAATCTTCAAAGCCATGTGAGCTGGTTGTGTAGAAACCTTGTTGTTTCAAAAGTGCCTACAGCTGTACTGCAGTAGCTTTTTAAGTGTTGGCATACCCCTAGAATCTGAAGTCCTTGTGTCTCCTTTAAAAATGTAATTTGGGTTCATAAGTCACTTGTGAAAATTTTACCCTTTGTGTCTGTATGGGCATTAAGAGTATTTCTACTTTGGCTACAACACAATTCAAAGAGCAGCTAAAACAATTCAAAGAGTGTTAGACTGTGTCCATGTGGGTGACAAGGGATTTTTGGCTGACTCAAGTGAACCCCTAACCCATCAGCTCAGACCAAGAGTCTGCCTTTGAAGCAAATTGACTCTTCTTCTGTAATGCCTTTAAACCAACAGGTCAAAGCAATGTTTCTAAATACGGTGTTGTTAATTAAATGATGAGGGCAAAACAATTGTCTTCCCATAATGTATCATAAAGTTACTTAAAACATTCTGTATATAATATCTTCAGATAAGAAAACAAATCACCTCAGTTCCTTGGCTACCTGCTTTGGAAGGAGAAACCATTCAAGTGGTAAGAATGGTGTATTTCAGGAGATTAGTACTCCTTCCCTTTCCCCTGCCTTTCATTACTTATTTTATCTGTGACCTAACTTTATTTATCTTATCTATTCCAGTGAGGTGAGGAGAACATATAGATAATGTACCTCAATTCTGTCTTCTGACCCCAGGTCAAACAAAAAAGAACATGCAGAAACATTTCATTATGCTTTATTAGTAGACAACTCCTTTAATTTTATCTTAAATTTGTCAATTAGTATTTCACAACCATTTGTAAGCTTCTTTAGGCATTTAGAGCTTCATTCTGATCAAGGTTAATTCTATAATTCTTATGGACCAACAAAGAGTTAAGAGATTTGCTAGTTTTGTGCAAATGATCTTTATGGGACATGACTGATTATATCTATAACTGATAAATTGGAAAGAATTAGGCCAGTGCTCGGTAATTCTCTTATTTAAGTTTTAATGGCTTAATTAATAAAGACTCTGAAAAGCATTGCAGATATTTTAGATGTGTTAACACAGAGATATACATAGGCTAATGCTGATGCACATGGCTTAATTGTTGAAGTTGTCTTTCTCATTTTAATTTTACCTACTAGAAAGTCAATATCCATTGATTTAATTTTGTTAGAAGAATTCTTATCTCCTGCCCTTGTCCAAGAGACAGAATCTTTATGTAGTCTATCTTATGTTCCATTTGTTGACTCTCTCTCTAACCTTCAAAGTTACCTTAATTAACAGTCTCTGTTTGAAGTGGACATAATTTACTGAATTTTCAAAAAGCTTTGGATAATGCCTTTCATAAAAGACTCTTATGGCAAATAACAAGAGGGTAAAGGAAACAGACATGTTGTGAATTAAAAACTGGTTAAGCAAGAAGAAATAGAAATAGAGCTGTAGTGAATTACTCCTTAGAGTGAAAAGCAAATTAATAGTGGAGCACCACAAAGGTCAGTCTTATTTTATAAACTAAAGCTTCGGAGGAGAAAGTGGGTAATATGCTGCTGAAGATTGCTGATTGTAGTAAATATTTTCAATTAGTTGAGAAAAAATTATGAGAAACTGCAGATATTTTTAAACTGGAGATAGACCTGTTGCAGTTCAGGGCTACGGTGGTCGACCTCACGAAGCCAAAGTCCTATCCCATCCCATCCCATCCCAGGAAGAACTGGGGCCTTCCTTGATCAGTAGATCCTGTCCATTTTCTTGCTCAGAAAGAAGAACACGAGTCAATCTAACCTCAGGTTACTTATTCGAAAGTTTTTTTTCTTTGTCTGTTGGTCTCTGAAGAATCTAGTTTGAACTGGTACTTTTCTAGAGGTATTACAATGCCCCCGCCCCCACACACACACTTTTCTTAATTCCTTGAAAAGCTGTAGTCACTCCTCCCATTAGAATTATTTACAGCCCTTGGCCCACAATGATGCATAATCTTAATACAGTAAAATCTCCAACCGTGTTGCCGGAAATTGCCATATATATCATGAGATCAAAACTGGAATCTCAGATTTATCTCCCTTTGAATACTGGATTGTAAGGATATAAATCTCTGCTCTTTCAATTTTCCTTCTGGTTCAAGTCTAAAACCATAAAGGACCTAACTTCTGGTCTGGTTCAAATGCAGGAAAAATATTTCAGGAATGCTCTTCTTGGGGGAGAGGAGGGAGGAGGTTGTTTGTTTTATTGGGAGGAGGGGTTGTTTTGTTTTTTGGTCAGTAAAGATTAATCAGCTAACACTTGTGTAGTGCTTTGAATCCAGAGACTTTTAAGTTGCTTCACACTTCCCCCATGGTGACAGATGATGAAACTGAGACACTTAGCAGTTAACACTCCATTTTTCTAAACTAACTTGTAATGTGAATATCTTTAAATGCCTATGGTCTAGTTTCCACAGATACTAAACACCCATAACTCTAAATGAAATCAGTGGGAGCTTGTTTCTAAGAGCTGCATGAAAATGTCCTTTGATGTAAGAGTACACATTTATTCACTGTGCCTGCTTCCTAAAGAAGAAAGGTCTCTCTGGCTGCTGTTTGTATGCAGTTCTGAAACTGTCTTCTCATCCAAAGCTCTCTGTGAAGCATGAGCCTACCCATATAGATCAGTCCAGATTTTACAATTCCTAAGAATAATTAAAACCTTCTGTTAAATGAGCTTATGGCCCCCGTCCAGTTATCAGTTGACTGGAACCACATTACAAATTATTCGTCATGTCTGACATTCATTAGGACCATCACTGGCAGTGTCAGCAGAGGGGAAGAATGGGTAGCAGTGCCATCTGCACTATCCACTCATCTCTTTACCTGAGGAATGCCAGTAGGCTGTTTTCCCTGCTGCTCCCCAGGCTGTGGATAATCTCCTGGGTTGTCACTCAAACACCTTTCACAGACTCTCATGCAGGCTATAAGGGAAAACAATAGCATTCCATAAACCTGTATGTCATATTATGCAAATGAGCTGTGGCACAAGGCCCTTACTGGCTATAAAGGCTCCCTTGGGTTTCAAAAAAATAACAGTGCTTAAGCTTCAATGAGTAATCCAAAATGATTTAATTCAAATTTCCATTTTGACAGTTATTCAGAAGGCCAGTGCTTCAAAATTAATAGTGGCTCGACCAAACGATTGGCCTCTGGAATGACTAAGAGGGTAGAAATTTGAAAGAAACCACTTTGAGTTATTTATTGAAGTCTAAGGGCTATTATCTTCTAACATACACTGAAATATTTACACATTGAGGGAATTATGCTTGTGAATTTACCTGCATGTATTTAAATTAAAAGGGGTCTTTTGTTTGGTTTTGTTTTCTTGTAAAAACTGTGATGTATTTATTGGTTTTTGTTCATGAAGCCTAAAAGATAATTAAAGGCTATTCTAAGCCTTCTGAGTCAGTCATTCCCAGGCCTCTCCCTTCACAAATCAGGCTTTTTATTGGCAAATACATGTTCAGGTTTATTTATAAGGCATCAGTGACATTCAGTGTTCAGTTATAGTACTGTAAGTTAATCGCTTTTATATGCTGTATGCAGTTCTCCATCTTTATAGGTTAGTGTTTGTTCTTTGTAAGCATAATGTAATAGGTTTTTATTATAAGGTGACCACATAGAGAGCTTCTAATTGGAATTTTTTTATTTCTTTTTCTTCTAGGCTGTGGATATACTTTTGCAGCATGGAGCTTATGTCAATGTTCAAGATGCAGTGTTTTTCACCCCACTACACATTGCAGCATACTATGGCCATGAACAGGTAACTAAATGGGCAGAATCCGACAGAGATGAAAGCATAGAATCATAGAATCATAGGACTGGAAGGGACCTCAAGAGGTCATCGAGTCCAGCCCCCCGCCCTCAAGGCAGGACCAAGCTCCGTCTACACCATCCCTGACAGATGTCTATCTAACCTGTTCTTAAATATCTCCACCTCCCTTGGCAATTTATTCCAATATTTGACCACCCTGACAGTTAGGAATTTTTTCCTAATGTCCAATCTAAACCTCCCCTGCTGCACTTTAAGCCCATTACTCCATGTCCTGTCCTCAGAAACCAAGAGGAACAAATTTTCACCTTCCTCCTTGTGACACCCTTTTAGATATTTGAAAACCACTATCATGTCCCCCCTTAATCTTCTTTTTTCCAAACTAAACAAGCCCAGTTCATGAAGCCTGGCTTCATAGGCTTCTCTAGACCTTTAATCATTCTTGTCACTCTTCTCTGTACCCTTTCCAATTTCTCCACATCTTTCTTGAAATGTGGCGCCCAGAACTGGACACAGTACTCCAGCTGAGGCCTAACTAGTGCAGAGTAGAGCGGCAGAATGACTTCACGAGTTTTGCTTACAACACACCTGTTAATACAACCTAGAATCATATTTGCTTTTTTGGCAACAGCATCACACTGTTGACTCATATTCAACTTGTGGTCCACTATGACCCCTAGATCCCTTTCCGCCATGCTCCTTCCTAGACAGTCGCTTCCCATCTTGTATGTATGGAACTGATTGTTCCTTCCTAAGTGGAGCACTTTGCATTTCTCTTTATTAAACCTCATCCTGTTTACCTCCGACCATTTCTCTAACTTGCTAAGGTCATTTTGAATTATGTCCCTATCCTCCAAAGAAGTCGCAACCCCACCCAGTTTGGTATCATCTGCAAACTTAATAAGAGTACTCTCTATCCCAATATCTACATCATTGATGAAGATATTGAACAGTACGGGTCCCAAAACAGACCCTTGAGGAACTCCACTTGTTATCCCTTTCCAGCAGGATTTAGAACCGTTAACAACAACTCTCTGACTACGGTTATCCAGCCAATTATGCACCCACCTTATCGTGGCCCTATCTAAGTTATATTTGCCTAGTTTATCAATAAGAATATCATGCGAGACCGTATCAAATGCCTTACTAAAGTCTAGGTATATGACATCCACCGCTTCTCCCTTATCCACAAGGCTCGTTATCCTATCAAAGAAAGCTATCAGATTAGTTTGGCATGACTTGTTCTTCACAAACCCATGCTGGCTATTCCCTATCACTTTATTACCTTCCAAGTGTTTGCATATGATTTCCTTAATTACCTGCTCCATTATCTTCCCTGGGACAGACGTTAAACTGACCGGTCTATAATTTCCTGGGTTGTTCTTATTCCCCTTTTTATAGATGGGCACAATATTTGCCCTTTTCCAGTCTTCTGGAATCTCCCCTGTCTGCCATGATTTTTCAAAGATCATAGCTAAAGGCTCAGATACCTCCTCTATCAGCTCCTTGAGTATCCTGGGATGCATTTCATCAGGACCTGGTGACTTGCTGACATCTAACTTTCCTAAGTGATTTTTAACTTGTTCTTTGTGTATCCTATCTTCTAAACTTACCCTCTCTCTGCTTGTATTCACTACGTTAGGCACACCTCCAGACTTCTCGGTGAAGACCGAAACAAACTAGCTCTTGCACAACTAGCCACATATAGTTTTACTGTCAGTCAATCTGTCTTTATATCCGGAAGGGTCCTAATAGAGAGAGACTGCACAGGTTCCACATAACTTAAGTTCTGCCTTTAACTGTATCTGATATTTTCTGCTGTTTGAAAGCTCACAGGAATGTGTCTATTCATGTTTTAACTACCCCTAGCCAGCCCTACAAGTCAAATGTATTAACCTCCAAAGAGTTCTGGAAATTAGTTGCCATTCATGAGAGTGGGAGAGCTTTTCTAACCTATAAAAGGGCTTCTCACCCAGGGATATTCTTTATACAGTGCTCACCACCCATCCTACATCTTGAAGCTACCTTATATTCATTAACTGTAATGTGTATAAATGGCCCATAGCAGGCCCACCAATGGAGGGAGGGCAAAAGGGGCAACTGCCCTGGTGGCTGGAAATTCAAAGAGGGAGAAGGTGGTTTGGGCAGGGCTGAGGGCTGGCAGGCTGGGCCCCGCCCCTTCTGCTGAGGCCTCACCCACACTTTGCCAAGTCTGTAGGCTCTCCTAGTCCATAGTAACTCAATAACAAATTGATTGGTGCACCTTGGATTTAATAAATACAATCCAGGCCCCATGGAAGTCAATAGGAAAATTCTCAGTGGATCTAATGAAACCAGATTTCACCCAGCATGTTGTGGATGCAAAGAGCCAAATCTTGCTTATCGTACTCTCACCAGCAGTGAAATTTTTAAGTACTGATGCCTTGGCCCTAAACCTTCCTAATCTCATTTCTCTTTGCTCATCTAGAAGTGTCTGTGACTGTGGGTAATATACTCACAGTACAGGAGATCCTTGGGTTCAGAAGAAGCCTTGTGTCTGTATTGGCTTTTATGAGTCAGTCCCCGAGCCTTTCTTTTACTGAAAACATGCCTATGCCAGGGCATTTTCAGAATTTCAAAGCATGACCTGTAGGTAGAGTATATTTTTCATTTCACTGAAGTTTATTTAGAAGAGTTGGAGAGTCATTCCCAGAAAATGCTTTTGAAAGGATAGACTCCAAGAGAACAGATGATTGAAAATTCTATATTTCTATGGTTCAATAGCAGTAAGGATGTGCACAAAGCATGCAATCTTGCACCTTCCTTTTTTATACATTCACCTCCTCATCCAGTAACATTAAGAAACTCTTTACATGTTGGGCTGAGAGATTAGCTTGCTTATTTCCCATGAACCACTTTTGAACAAATAGTCACAGTCTTGTGAAATTATGCTAAAATGCATATGGTGCTTTTGTGATAAGGGACTCTACTTTCTGAAGGAAGCTACGGCTCTGACATAGCTAATTTATGGATGTTAAGGACATTTACTTTATTATGCTGACTAGGCCAGTTAAACAAATAAGTGTGTCTTTTTCTCAACCCCTCACTATCCATATCACTTTAAAAATGAACTGATATTTGCTAGTGAACAATGTAATATGTTATAGGCGTATAACTTACAAATGGACATTGTAATGAGTTTCATGAAAGAATTTATATAGACCTATATAACTTGTTTTAATTTCAAAAAATAGAGCTTTCTTACTCAAGATGTTAAGAAATCCAGTACAGGCAGTCCCCGACTTACGCGGATCCGACTTATGTCGGATCTGCACTTACGAACGGGGCTTTCTCGCCCCGGAGGTCGAGGTGGCGGATTGCTACCTGCGAGCTCCAGGGCGAGAAAGCCCCGTTCGTAAGCTGCTCCGGTGCCCCTGGTCTGCTGGAGACCGCAGTCTTCAGCAGTGACTGAATCTGGACGCCAGTTCCAACTTACATACAGATTCAACTTAAGAACAAACCTACAGTCCCTATCTTGTACGTAACCCGGGGACTGCCTGTATAGAGTAAACTTTAACCTATGATTACCAACTGAAATTTATTAGCAGCAGGTTTAAAACAAATAAAAGGAATTATTTCTTCACACACTGCACAGTCAACCTGAGGAACTCTTTGTCAGAGGATATTGTGGAGGCTAAGATTATAACAGGGATTTAAAAAAAGAACTAGAGTCCATGAGAGTCCATCAGTGACTATTAGTCTGGATGGACAGGGATGGCCTTCTTAGCCTTTGTTTGACAGAAATTGAGAATGAGTGACAGGGGAGGGGCCACTTGATGATTGCCTGTTCTGTTCATTCCCTCAGGGCATGTGGTATTGGCCGCTGTTGGAAGCCAAGATACTGGGCTAGATGGAACTTTTGTCTGACTCAGTATGACCATTCTTATGTGCTTGTTTCATTTAAATGTGTGTTTTCAATCGGTGGTCTAATTTACATTGTTTAAATATTTAGGTTACCCACCTCTTGCTGAAGTTTGGTGCTGATGTGAATGTGAGTGGAGAAGTTGGAGATAGGCCCCTCCACTTAGCTTCTGCCAAAGGGTTTCTCAATATTGCAAAACTCTTGATGGAAGAGGGCAGCAAGGCAGATGGTAAGGGAATATTTTAAAAACGCATTCAAATTATATTTTGTATATAGTGTCAAGTCCTGACATACTTTGCACTAGCTTTGGATTTTGCTTTGTATTTCTGTGTGTGTATGAGTGTTTATGTACTGAAATTGATGAGTAGTGCAAACAAATATGGGGAATATTTATTCACATTCTAAATGTGCTTTGTCTATGTTTCTGCCCCCCATGTATCAGTTTTCTTGAATAAGCAAGAGAATTAGCTTATTGTCAGAGGTGTTTATAGAAACAGTTCCAAATGAAGGACTCTTAGGAGGACTATTAGGAGTAAGTGGAAATTTGTTTCTAAAAGTTACGCTGATACAGCTGAAGAACAGAAGAAACCATGTGATGGATGTGTCCAGTCTAAACAACTTAGAGTTTGAATAGCAAATACCCACAATAATGTTAGTGAAGGGGCTATAGAGGAAGGATATTAAGTAGAAAATATGTGGTAAATACTTTCAAGTAATAATATAGAGGAAGACATACTGGGTGTGTATTGACTGGCAAGATTTTGCACAAAAGCAATTGCTTTTGCGCAAAAACTTGCCAGCTGTCTACACTGGCTGCTTGAATTTGCGCAAGAGCACTGACTTTGTAATGTACAAAATCAGTGCTTCTTGCGCAAATACTTTCATGCTCCCGCTTGGGAAAAAGCCCTCTTGTGCAAGAGGGCCAGTGTAGACAGGGAAGAATTGTTTTGCACAAAAAAGCCCTGATGGCTAAAATGGCGATCGGGGCTTTCTTGCGCGAAATCGCGTCTAGACTAGCCTTTCTGTTCATAAACTGTTTGAACAGAGTGGCTACGTCTAGACTGGCATGATTTTGCGGAAATACTTTTAACGGAAAAATTTTTCCGTTAAAAGTATTTCCGCAAAATCATGCCAGTCTAGACGTAGCCACTCTGTTCAAACAGTTTATGAACAGAAAAGGGATAGGATTTTATAATACTTTATTCATTATAAAGTTTTCATCTGTAATATAAATGTGTTAATCTGTGTGTCTGTAATATATGACTGGGTGGGATAGTGTAAAGGTTTATCAGTATAAATATTTGCACTATTCACTTAAGTGAATTTTACAGGTCATATAAAGGATAAGGCCAATAAAACTGCTACACGATTCCACATCCTTTATATTTTTCATAAGCCATAGATTAATCAAAGGAAAAAAATATTGTATTGTGGAAATATATGTCAGGGTTTTTTCATCCTGCTAGCTGTAATACTAAGTGCTTTAGTTACCAGGGACTTGATTTGCTGTTCTATTGCATCTCCTTTATACAGCTTCAGTAACATAAAGGGTTCCCTATGCAGTGCACAAACATGACAACAACTCTGTATCAATCCTATCCAAACCTTTGTGTCACAGACATGCTTGGGGTGGAAGGGATTGCAGCGGCAGAGTGCTGCTCTGCTCAAACTGTTCTCGGCTGTGGAATAGCTGCTAGGGAGGTGTTGCAGCTAAGCATAAATTAGAATAAGGCCCTAAACCTTAAAACTTAGCAAACATGAAGTGGCTTAACAGCATCTTTGTGACTCCTCCCGCCTCCCTTATTTCTGGAGCTTAGTCTCATGTGGGAGGAAAGAAGAGGCTTGTCCCATTAGTCTGTTTGAAAAAATAGCCTGCGGGAAGAGGAGTACTATAACTACATTTGTAAAACCTCTAAAATAACCTAAGCTTGTTTCCCTGCACATAAATTATTAGACATCCTTGTCCTCCAGGGACCTTCCACATCTGGAAGCAAGTGCTGTGTCTCATTCTCACTCTACTTTTGCCAAGAGCATAGCTCCCATGTCTAGCTCTCAAGAATTCTGAGTTGTTGGTTCTTCATCCTGGTTTCTATTCTGGACAATGGGTTTGTACAATTTTTGGAGGGGGGAGAGAGGTAAGCTTTTCTTCGGCAGGCTGATTTTTGTCTTATTTAATGGTGACTCTTTGAAGCTGTTCAGAGATATGGCATGTCAGAGGAAGACAGAATTTGAGTGGTTGGCAGAGAGTGGGTGAGATAGTCAAAGTACGTGATAATTACTATATGTTGGATACCTTTGCGATTTATCACAACTCTTCAATTTTTCTTGAGGACCCCACTCTATGTATCTGTCTTGTGATACTCATGTGATAGATATACACAAAGGTATCTGTAACCAGCTTGAAAATGTTGTAAATACTAAAACGAGTAATTAACTAACTAAAAATATATGTGAAATATATCTCAGATGTTCTTTTTGACAAATTGGACATAGCCCCATAGAGCTTTCTGGTTGGTGAAGTGCCAGATAAAACAGCTCTTACTGTACATAGTTTCCACAGTATCATAGACCTATTCTGCAAGTGACACTGTAACTGTGTCTGTACCCACATTCCTCCTACCTACTGATATCTTTGAGTATAAATTTAGCACATTTTCTGAGAGTGATGAATGTATTACATCCCTCCTATTCACCTATTAGGAAAAAAATGGGGAAACAGTATGATTCAGATTAGTAACTGTTTTTTCAGCAGTGAGCTCTTTGATATTAAAGTCTTGATATGTGTGCACTGAACCAATATATTTATAGTAAAGGGAGAGAGGGAAAGGAGGAGAGATGTGCATTCACCATACAGGTGTGTAGAAGCCTTATTATCATTTAGATAATTTATTCCAAAAGAAGATGAAATTAGATCCATTCAATATTATTTATTTTAAAATCTGTACATTCCTCAATAGAAAAAGCAAAGAAAGCTGAAAATGTCTTGTCCCAAAAGTATCACATTTTGAAACTTGAAATCACCATGGCAACAGAGGAAGAACTCACAAACATTTAAAAATGAAAATAATTCATGATATAAAATTAGCCAAAAGAATCTGAAAACTTGCTCTAAAATTCAGCAGTATGTTTCCTGAGTTTGACCTATTCATTGTAATATACATTGACTGTTTGGACATTTGATTCCTGTCTTTCCTGTCTCTGAAATAAAAAAGAAATGCAGTAACTGTTGGAACATAATGAAAAGGTCCAATTATGGCTACATTTTACTAATCTTTCAAAAATGAAAGGAGAGCCATCCCCATCACAAAGATATACGCAGGAAAATATACAAATCCATTGTTCACGTACTTTATTTGCATAATCAATATGCTGTAAGCACAGTACACTTTCTTCCCAAATGCTAGTCCGATAGTTTACATGGAATTCAATATGAGCACCATTGGGAAGGAATTCTTAGTAGAATAACTAGATAAATAAAACATTTTTTCTTAAATATTGTGGCCCTACTAAGACAGTAGTAGTATATTTGATCAAATTATTTATTTTGTGTCCAGTTTTATCAAAACAGGGTCTCCTAATTTAAGATTGAATTAATATTGATAGTCATTTTGATGGCTAAAGAAGGACTGAGACCTCTTACATTTATTGTTTTTCAGCCTCACATCCTTTGAAGAGGGCCACTTAGGTAGGAGCTTTGCCTCTAAGTTTGAAAATATTTTTCTTAATTGTGGAAGCTGAACGGTCTTACTTGAATGCCTAATAACAGGGTTTCCCTGTTAACCCAGCACAAGATGAAGGCGAGGATCAGTTTATTTATTTATTTATCTATTTATTTGTTAATTTAGAATACTCTTTTATATTCTAGCCACATGAGAGTGGTGGCGGCCAGAAGTAATACACTTGAAATCATTATTTTGCAGAAGCTGGGAACTCTAAGGCTACATCTGCATTTCACTATTTGTGCAAGAACATATGCAAATGAGGTGCGGCGATAAACATCGCCGCGCCTCATTTACATACTTAATGAGCCACCATTTTTGCACAAGAGGCTTTTATGTAAGAAGGAGCAGTCTACACTGCTCCTTCTTGCACAAAAGCCCCTTCTTGCTCAAGAGCCGTTCTGCTGCTTATTTTCAGGCAGAACGGCTCTTGCGCAAGAGGGGGGTCTTGCACAAGAAGGAGTAGTCTAGACTGCTCCTTCTTGAGCAAAAGCCCGTTGCACAAAAATGGCACCTCATTTGCATATGTTCATGCTCAATAGAGCGCAGTATAGATGTAGCCTAAGGGTACATCTACACTGCATGCTTCTTTCAGATTAAGCTATTCTGAAAGATGTATTTCAAACTAGCTTATTTCGAAATAGAGCACCCACACTATAGGGAAGCCTTAAAATTAGTCCAAGGCCGGCTCCCCTAATGTGGATGGGCTATCTCAATTTAGAGCCCCAGGAAGCACTGGGGAAAAATTACTTAGAATGGCCCTGGTGAGGAGCTATTTCAAAATAGCAGCAGAGCGTCCACACTGCAGCTATTTTGAAAAAGTTATTTTGGAAGAGGAGTTATTCCTCATGGAATGAGGTTTACAGAAGTCAGAACAACCCACCCATTATTTCGATATTATTTCAAAATAACAGAATTGCTGTGTAGACACTCGCATTGTTACTTCAGAATAACACTAGTTATTCCGAAATAACTGTGCAGTGTGGATGCACCCTGAATCAGCAGATTGTACTGTTATTGGTGACTATGTCTCCAAAATGAGAAAAGGCACCTTTTATCTGTTTTGTAATCCAGTGGGTATAGTAAGAAATAGAATCTCTATACGTCTAGAAAATAGCCAGTAGCTAGTAGACAAGTATATCATTTGCCTTTGCACAAACATAATACAATATTTTTTTTCTGCCTTTTATGAAACCTGCATCAATGGTCATGCTTTGGTCCAGTAGATTGCAACCATGGTTGTCAAATATTTATTCATTCCCTATGTCAGTCCTTTATTTAATTAGCCTAGAAAACTTGTCTCCCCCTTCAAATGATTGAACATTACCCAGGGTTGTGACTCATGTTCTTAAAAGTCTCTTTGCAAATCACAATCATTTGCCCATTAAAATCAAATTGAAATTAGATATCTGATTTTCAGGTTAACAGGAGAAGTCTACTCATTAATGTTGTTTTTCAATACTGAGCCCTGTGACCAGGAAGCATTCACTTGGCTATTTCCTTGGCACAC